TGGTCCCGCCGGCACAGGGTAGCAGGAAGCTCTCCACACACTCACCGGACCTGGGCTAGGACTGGGTCTCTGGATTTCAGGTTATGATCACATATATACTAGTAATGCAAGTTTCAAACTTGATGATAATGTCATTATGATAAGTAAATGACAATTTTGATAATGATCAAAGGGCCAATTTTGTCTAATTTGGTAACTACATTAGTGGTACAGACTATATGGCTCATTATATACATAAATTGATTTTTTTTAACATACGGGAGGGTTCTGAATACATACCTCAAGGAGGCTCTGCAAAAGAGAATTTGAAATAGGTCACTTATCTTCATAAATTATTCAAATAATGACAGCTGATTTTCTAAATGTGGTGCCTAAAAGTGAGCAAAACAACTGTGCTCTGCTATTTTTAAATATGAATATGTGACGATTTCACTTCACAAGCACCTTATTCCTTCACATCTCAAGAAAACAGACAAGACAAAGTCTATTTCTCAGAAAAGGTTAAATGAGTCAACCAATAACAAATCTGACTGGAACCCTTAAAGTCAATTATTTTACAACTGTTCTTTTAAACCTAATTTTTGTAAGGAGGTGGGGCTGAGGTAGTATCAGCCATATATAGTATGATGTCTTTATGACCAGCAAAGATAAAAACAAAGATAAACATATAAACATCTGCTTTGTTCTGACTAGCTCTTTATAGTCACTTTCTATGAGGAACACAGTCATTCATACTTTAACTCAAACATAATGCACCATCAATAGAATTATGAGAAAGTTCTGAGTAACCTGTAATGTTATTTTACTCCATGTCCCTGATGAAAGATCATGAGAGGCGTCATTTTACTATAGAAATTAAGAACTAAAAATCTAACTTTACAAGACAGCACACTTACATTCACCATTTGAAATAACTGTTTATCTCCTAATAAAAACAATTTAACAGAATAAAAAAAAGTAAGTCTCAGATAAGAAGGTAGGAAATTTAGCATTTAATCACTAGAAATTAACTAAATTTTAAAACTAAGCAAGATCATTCTATCTAAGTGCTAGGCAGAGGTACTTCAATATTTACAATTGCTATGGAAAGATCAGAAATCCTAGCCACAACCTCAGAAAAGTTTCCTGATATTTGTTCCTCTGACTAGTTCCAAGGTCTACCTTTGGGAAGATAACTTCCCAAATACTCATTAATATCCCATTTGCTTTCAGTTAACCTCTAGCGAAAGAAAAGAGGTTAACTGTGGTCCTTTCACCTCTTCTGTCCTTTCTTCTTTTCCCTACCTGCCACTGACAGTCCTTACCACCAACACATAAAGCAAATGTTCTATTTGTTTGTTTGTTTGTTTCTGTATTTTAGGGAAGGTTCTACAGGGTGTTTATGGTCTCACTACTAGATCAGACTCAGTGATCCTCCTGTTTACAGCCCCCCACGTGCTAGGATTACAGGGGCGTGCCACCATGTCCAGTCTCAATTGCCTTCTCAGCGTGGGGGTGGGGGGCACGACAGACAGGCCCAGGGATTGAACTCCGGCCCCTGCGCCCACGCCTGCTTGCAAGTACTTTAATACACTGAGCTATTTGGCTGTCCCCAAATGTTCTATTTTAAAAAGATTTAAATTGTAGAAACTTACAATCTTGTAATAACTTCTCTCTTTCTCTGTATGTATCTTAACACCAAGCCCAAAACTCTTGTCTCCTACCATTCGAAAAATAACAATGTAATTGAATTTTTTTTAGACAAAAGACCAACCTCTAATGAAGACAAATAATGTTGCAAATAGGTACCCAGAAGGGGTTTTGGATAAATCCACTATTTAGAGCTATTTCTTATGTACTCAAATGATACCAATGAAGACATGGTAACAAAGACCTAAAATAATAGATTTTTTTTTTTTTTTTTGAGACTATGTAGCCCAGGCCATTCTTGAATTCACAATAATCCCAAATGGTATGATTGTAGGTGTGTGTCACCACACTTCCCCTAAAATATGCTGCTTTTAAAAGCAACTAAAATTCTAAACAAATTGAATAATAAAAGCTTTCTTGATAACATTCTGAAACTTGCCAAATTTATACTACTTATGCTAATATGCTTTTTGAATTATAAAAGTAAAAAAAAGTCTTCAAATTCTACTCCTATTCCTTTCTCAACTGTAAATGAGGTTTCTTTTGCAGGATAAACAATACCAGTCTGAAGGTCAGCTCGCCATAAGACTTCATAGGCCACATGTAAGTGGGCATGTATTTCCTATTTTGCCTAGAAACTTGACCAATTCTAGGAACAATTTGGAAGTAACTATATGCAAAAAAAAAAAAAAAAAAAAAAAAAAACAGCTATCGGTACCTAACCCAGCTAATCTGCATATTTCTCAGTAAATGAGTATTTTATTAAGAATACTAGTATTTCTCTCCAATTCTATAAACAAACAGACTCACAATTCTGGCTTCTTGTACTTGGTTTTATGTAGACTAATAGGCATAAACTAAACAACTGTCCTAAGGCACGGTCAAGGACCAAAAAGCTTAATAATGCAGATTATCCTTTAAGTGCATTAACAAAACAAAAAACACATTTGAAGTTTCTGTCACTATCATTACATTTAAAAACAGTCCACCTCCAGCCAGTTAGAAGCACATTCAGAGACAGAATTTTAAAAATAGAGGCAATATGAAGTAAAAAGAGCTTCCTCTTTCACTGGCCTAGTTAAAATTTATATTCTGGCCATTTCTGAAAACAAGACCAAAAAACTTAAGTAACTTCCAATAACCACATATCACAGTGTGGGCTCTGTTTATACAGTAAGATGGAATACCTACCTCTTTCTAAGCAGTTCTTAGATTATTAAATGGCCAAGAGATCAGAAAAGGTCTTAACTTGAACATTATCTTCAACACATTCCCAGAAAAGCACCCACCCTTTTTAAACTAGCAATACTTATCTCCTATAAACAGAAGGATATATGTTGTCTGCTATCCAAATATATAAGAAGAACTTCTTCAGCTAAAGCCAAAACACACAATTCATTGACATTCTTTACTTAAGAAAAAAAAAAAAAAAAAAGCAAAGAACTAAGTTCCATAAGGGCTAAAAAATAGTTAAGAGAGATTTTTTTTTAAAAGAGTAAATATATTTATTGGAGGAAAGAAAGCTTCTGTCTAAGAGAGATACAAAAGTCCCAAATGGGTTGTTAAGGATCCCTTTTCTAGGGACTTTTATAAGGGCAAATTTTTCAATCCTTTCAAATAACTGAATCAGGCTTGTTTGAATTTTCGAGTTAACAACTCAAAAACTTAAAAATTAAGACAAGCCTGGTTCATATGAAGACAAAAAACAAACCTTGACTTTAAATTCTTTACTCAAACTGAGCATGGTGCCACATGCCCATAACTGCAGCAATTGAGAGCTTGAGGCGAGAGAATCACAGAGTTTGAAGCCAGTCTAGGCTACACAGTGTGTTGAAGGCCAGCCTGAATTAGAGGTAGACCCTGCCTCAAAAACATCCTTTTAGGGGCTGGAGAGAAAGCATCAGGGACCGCGGTTCAATCCCCCAGCACCACATGCCAGCCAGCCCCGCCCCCTGGTGGGCTGAGCTGG